GGCTTCTGTCCCCATCGTCTGCCACCCCTCACCCAGGTAGGACAGGTGGCACCCAGGGCCTGGCATCTGGTGCTTTCCCAGCTGTGTCATCTTGGGTAACTTGGCTGCCAGTCTTCCTTTTTTTTGGTAATAGTAATTCACATGCCATAAAATTCACCTGCTCAAAGTGTATAATTCAAGTGTTTTTAGTATATTCACAGAATTGCACAACCATCACCACAGTCAATTACAGAACATTTTTATTGCCCCCGAAAGAAACTCCCTGCCCATTAGCAGCCACTCCCCATCCCTCCCCCGCAGCCCCTGGTGACCTCTAGTCTGCTTTCTGTCTGTGGGTTGCCTGTTCTGGACACTTCGCATGACTGGGATCGTACAGTACATGGTGTTTTGCAACCAGCTTCTTCCACTCGGTGTGATGTTTTCAAGGTTCGCCCTGATTGTAGTGCAAGTCGGCACCTCACTTTTCCTTATGGCCAATGATGTTCTACTATGTGGCCCTACCATGACACCATAATCTGTTTAGCCATTCATCTGTTGGGGGGCATTTCGGTTGTTTCCACTTTTTGGTTACTGTGAATAGTGCTACTGTGAACATTCACGTTCAAGTTTACTGGGCATGGAACAGGGAGGAGGGTTAAAGGGTCTCTGTGGTCACTTCTCTTCTTGAAGCTTCTGTTTTCTTCTCTCTAAAATGGGGAATGAAATTGCAATACTGGCTTACCCTGCCTCCTGGAGTAAGCTCAGAGAGAAAAACTCACTTGAAATTAAGAGGGCTGAGGGGCTAGAGGAGCAGTCACCTCCCTACGGCAGCCAGGCCCTGGACTCCCAGCCGTCCCTGCTGGAGGGGAGGGTGTCGGGAGGAGGAAGGAGGGGATAGCAGAGATGGCAGAGCCAGCGCATCATCTTGGCCCAGAAAATCCCACTTGCTGTGTGATCTTGAGGACAGGCCAGGAGGCCTGCTCCAATGATGGGGTTCAGTGGGGTGACTCCTGGGCTCCTCCAGTCCTGCCACACGGTGTTTTCGGGCTTCCTGGGCTTTGGACTCCTAAGGAGGCTTAAGTCTTCCCCAGAAACTACAGGCTTTGTGTGTGGTTGGGGGGGGCACAAAATCGAAATAGACTTGCAGCTCAGGGATTCACCCCTGACCCCCAGGGCCTTGGGGTGGAGGTGGGGAGGTGAAGGAATGGGGGCGACGAGGTGGAGAATGTATCACCCCACTCTGTGTGACTGTGGACTATGGGATCCTTTTCATATCTCCAGAGTCAGCCAAGTCTCACCATAGCCTGGGAGAGAGTGAGGCAGTGTTCATCAGCTCCATTGTACAGATGAGGAAACTGAGGCTAACGAAAGTGCTCCCCAAGGCCAGAAGCTAACAAGTAGCAGAGCTGGAGCTCTCCTGGTCTGGGGGTCCTTCCCAGCCCCACTGTGGCAGGCTACCTGTCTCTCCCCTAGTTCCGCAGCAGCATCTTTTTTTTTTTTTT